TACATTTGGAAGCATATTTCCAAATGTTTAATTTAGTGCTCATCTATGGACTACTACGAAGTATTTTAAACAACAGCTTTACTACTTGAACGAAGCCACATTCTTCTGGCTTTATGTATAAAGTAAATAAGCTGAGAGAGAGTGCAGGGTAGTCTCCTCCAGTAGGTATGAGATTGCAATTGGATCGCCTATCTCTTGAACTCTTGTGAAATGTGTCTTTACTTCCGACTTTGCTTCAAGTAATGGAAGTTCTAAATTTTTTGAACAATTGCTAGTCTCTTTGATAAAAAAGATTTGACATTCTATTTTTCTACTTAATATAATGCTTCCTTGGACTGAACGTGAACGTCAATTTATACATAATTTTAGCAAGTCAACTATAGCTGTCGGGTTGTCTTAAGGATCACAAAGATTACAGGGAACTATTCAGCAAAGCTTGACATGTGAAAAAAGGAAGAACTGTGGGCTTGATCTAGCTGTTCCCTCAACAGATACTACTTTATGTATTCTGACATGTTTCAAATTACAGGTCACAATCTATTTAAACTGCAGCAAAGTTCATTTTCAGCTAACATTGTGGAAATGAGACTGAAACCTATTTGCCTTTTTCTGTGACTGCAAGTCAGCCAACTTAAGCCTTCGACCATAAGCTAGCAAACTGACCCTCTGGTTTTTGCTGCAGCTCATTAGTCTGAACAGTTAGTATTCCTCTCACCAGATGGTCCAAAGGAACCAAAATGTGCCGTCCACAATGTCAGCAGCAGCATGGTAAAGTATCCTCTCTTGTTCTTCCATAGGTTTGTTTTGAGGATTCAAGAATAGAAATGTGCATCCCTATGTGCAGTATGTGCATCTCTATGTGCATCCCATATGCAGTAACAGTTGTGATCTTGGAATTTTATAGTGGTTTTTGAATTTATGATTATAACCACCAATTTCTTAATACAGAGAGCTACCATAAGAGATGTCTCCTCCTTTCTGCTACATTCGTTTAAAGAACGGGATACAAGCAGCATGCCTATCATTCAAAATAGCACTGACACTTCATTGCCAAGAAGGTTCCTTCTTGAATACTTTCACACTTCCTAAGGCCTTTTCCTCTGAGCAACAGTACAATTTAGGAGTAGAGTAGACTATTAAAATCATTGCAAATTTAAAAACCTTCTTCCTGAATTCTCACTAATCAGTTGTTCAGAAAAATGCTGATTCCTTTTAATACACCCACTAAACGCCTACAGAGTAGCCCTAAATTCAAAAGAAAACATCAATGGTAAGAATATCCCATCAAAAATAAACACTCCGTACGCTAGTGATGCATTATAGATATAGCAGTTAATTGTATATAGGTGTCAATGATGCATTAAAATTGCATACATGCCCCAAATGCATCAAGAACTTTCATACGTTACTCTCAATTTTCTAGAATGTAGTTACTGTTAGGTGCCATCCAGTCTTTGTGGACTCCAAGCACCCTCTGTATAAAAGAATGAAACAGAAACCACCTGCTCAATGGCGTGGGAATGGAGAGCGCTTTTTGCAGACATGTCATCAATCCATCTCATTGAAGATCTCCGTTCCCTTCACTGACCTTCTATTTTACAAAACATGAGCTTCTTGGCTAAGGATTACTCCTTCTTGATATCCTGTCCAGAGTACATAACATAAAGCCTCAACCTTCTTGCCTTTAAGGACATTTCTGACCATTTCCTATATGTTGGTATAATCTGAGCTTACAATAGCTTGTCCAAGACAAGCTTAATCTTAAATATATCCTCCTATGAGCAGGTTATATAATTGAACTACATGGACTCTTGTTGATAAATGTGTCTACATACTGCATGTTTGAATAGATGGCGCACATATTTTATATGTATTGCTCATGATTTTAAAAAATAAAGCTGAATGAGAAAAACATTCATTCCTACATGCCAAATTTTAATTATGCCTCTCAGATGTGTGCTTTTAATTAACTGGTGCCATTTTCTTTGTTCAATTATTATAGTTCCATGCAACTGCCATAAACTTATAAATTTTAATTAAAGCTGCCCCAAACCTTAGTTATATAGTGTCCACATAGGAATTTGGTAAAAGGCTTAACTGTAAGTAAACCAACAATGAATAAATCCATGAATGGCCCACTGGGATTTGTTTAACAAATTCACAGTTGTGTGGAGATAATGAGGTTCTACTGTTTATAATAGCAGCCAATGATTTTATAAAACCACACTTTTAAATGTGAAAATACTTTGTTAATGGCTTAATTGAATAGTATATTATTGTTCATTATGAGACACAAAAATGCATGACCATTTCACAGGTGAAATTCAAATAATAACTCATTTATATTTATATTTTTAAATATAACATTTCCTGGGCAGATTATCTATGTAAATCAAACCTGATTATTTTGATGCAAAGAGAAAAGTCGATATATGGTAGATTTTAAGAATGCAGTAAGGTCTGGATAAAGGATTTGAAGAAAACATGTAAAGTTTTGCTTTTTCTATATGCAATTCCGAACCTATGAACAGGACGGTAAACTCAGGGTTCTATATTGATTTGTTCTGTGAATCC